CGCCCCCATCTTTTTTTTTTTTTTTTTTTTTTGGGTTTCAGCCAGTTGTGTTACAAGGAGTTCAGAAATGTGCTGTAAGTGACACCAAACAAGATGGGTTTGGCCAGTTGGAAAGGGAAGCTTTGTCACTGATAGGACTTACACCCTTAGGCCAGACGGCAATGTCCAAGAGAAAACGATCAAAGAGACACGGAACCCACGCGCCTAAGTATTTATTTCTGGTTTTCAGATTTCCCACACTTTTCAAATGTGAACTTGCATCCTGAAGGTGGAGCTTTAGTACACAAGAAAATTGGACTGGGGCAAACACATTTGTACAAAATGGGGTAGGATTGGGAAAAATGCATCTGTGTGTTTCTTAGTCGCTTGTATTTTTCATGCCAAAAAAGCACAGATTCTGATTTTTTTCACCATAGGAGTCTGCATACAATTACATGGGAGGAAAGAAAAGCTTGCTCTCGGGAGTGGGCTTACGGTCTCAGTAGAATGATGGGAGAGTGTAGCCATCAAAGCCATTTCTAGTTCTTGCTGGTAGTATTTTAAAGATGCTGTTTTTCTTTCAAAACGAGGCAGCAATGAATCGAATATGATCAAAATGTTGCATCATAGATTATGTTTCATGCAAACAGCTCCCAGGATGGTCTGTGGCTGATCACATCCACTCTGTGGGACTTAGAGAAATGACTTGGTTGCCAGTGAAGTAAAACTATCTCCAGCCTGGGATCGAACTGTTGCTTCTCAGCATGTAACCACACTGCCACCGCCAGCTCACGAGGCCAGTGAAGACCACTGTGTGTGTCTTGCACAGAGAAAACTGTCAAAATATCAGCACATACATACCATGCCATGCTGGGTAGGCGTCTGTGAGCTTCAGCAGAGTTTTCTTAGAGACTGCTGCTTGTTTTCAGTGAGACAAAAAGTCTTAAAATGATCTAGATGGGTAGGAACAGGTGAAGCACGGTGATGTGCTGTGCCTGAAATCTCCTGCCTAATATCAGTCCTGCATCTCAGGGGCTTCTCCTTCCTCAGCTCCCTTCATCAGCACGCCAGCCACTATCTCCACAGCAGAAAGGACGATGTCGTATCTCGTGGAAAACACTTGCTGCCTACTGGCTGGCAAAGATAATGTTATCCAATTTCAAACGAGGAGCTTATGAATGGAAAGATGGCCACTCTGAATGTGGCATCTGAGAGCCACTGCTGACAGGTGGACACCTCTGGGGCAGACACTCAGGCTTTCTTTCTGCTTCTTGTCCCACTTCCACCTCTTTCTTTAAGCCGTCCAGTGCCCCTGCCCTATTCCCCCAGCACTGGGCAGAACTTGAAACCCTATTGTGGAAGTTCAAAACCGACAAGGGCTGTTCCTTCAGTAGGCTCAGTCCTCGGACAAACCCACTCACCTTTCTCTCCCCTTAATGGAGTCACTCTAGAGCCAGGGAACTTGGAGGGACTGAACTGAAAGGAGCAGCGACCTTTTCCTGGGGTCTTTGGCCTGATAATAGCCTGGGAAGAAACAGAGATCCTTTCCCAAGGATCTAGAGGGGTCCTTCCTTAGGTGCCCTCTTCCCCTCTGAACCCCCGCCTCACCCAAAGGCTCTTAGGTGCTGATGATACCACCAGCTGCCTCAGGCCCCTGGGAGGTATTTTTTGTATTTTCCCGCAAGTCCCTTTCTGAGTGTCATGAGTCTCCTCCCCAGTGTGCAATGATTCCCTGTGCTCTGCAAATTCTTTGTGGCTTTGGGGGTGACCTAGCTGATATTTTGCTTCTCTGGGTGAGGTGATGAGACCTCAGGGGAGACCAAAGGGGAAAAGTGGGAAATAACACAGACAGAGAATCTCCTGGGAAACAGGGAACTACAGGTACCGGGCTCTAAGACTGGGAGTCTGGGCTGGGGAGGCTGAGACTGGTTGGAGCGTTTAACTTGGGGAACTTTTCAGTCCCACTGCAGAGAATGGTCTCTGGGAATTATGTTAAGGGCCACAGGTGGCATTTGACTTGTGAGACAGGTAAGAGGCCCTGGAGCTAGATCTGGATTCTATTCTCAGTGCTACCGACCCGCAGTAGGATGGCGGCAAGGTCCCTGACCTCTCCACCATCCTTCTCCTCCACCACTAAGTAGGGACGTAAAAACGGTCAATAATTACTACAGTTGTTTTGAGTGTTAGGTGAATCTTAATCCATGCAGGGAACGTAGAACAGAAACTGTCATGTCGTTAGGGTTCAATACATGCTAGTCATGACCATTGGGGTTAGATGATGTGCAGAACTTTCTAAGCGCTAGGCTTGAAAGCCCGGGACTCCGTTGCCAAGGGAGATTGGAGAACCTCTTCAAATATGGGCGCTCTGGCCCTGGGGATTGTCCAGAACGAGAATGTGGCGCCTGCCTTCTTCCCACCTCACTTCTCTGACCCGGGGAAACCCACACCCAGTCACAGGGACGCCGAGGTCCCCGGAGCCTCCGGCTCGGCCACGTCTTTTGCGCGCCTCCCCGGGGCCTCGCTCCCGCGGTTCCACACCTGTCAGTCGCCCTCGCAGTCTCCCCGCGGCCGGAGCCCTCGGCCCCCGCTGCAACCCCTCTGCACCCTGGATCCTCGCTCCCAGCGCCTGGCGTTTGCTCCTGGCTGCTCTCGTAAACAAAACCCGGGCGTTGGAGCAGCCCGGCCGGCGGGAGAAGCGCGGGAGCCGGCTCAGTGCGCCGTTGGCGCGCCCCGGGAGCCCAGGGCGAGCCAAGCGGTGATGGTGGCGGCCGCGGCGGCAGCGGCAGGCGGCTCAGCTTTGTTATGAATAGATGAAAGAGGCCACCTACACAGTAACCCAAATTACGAGACCTCCCTCCTCCCTATCTCACCGAATCTAGTGGGGAGGGGAGATGGGCGTGGAGGAAGGGCGGGCAGCAGGCGGAGGGAGGAGGAGGAAGAGGATGGGGAAGGGGGCAGTTGCATCCCACTTTCACAATGGGAAAGTGAAACGCACAAGCGCACCCAACCTCTCCAGCCCTCCCCGCCCGCCTCACTCCCCTCCGCCCGTCCCCTCCCTTCCCTTCCGCGCCTCCCCGCGAGCGCCAGCGCTGCACACAGGAACTCTCCGGCGAAGGAGGGCGAG